ACAACCCCCTTCCTTACTGTCATATATCCCTAAAAGTTGTAAGGTGGAGGTTGTTGATGAAATCCTCTCTTCCAGAGATATTACTTTGTAACTCCTCAAAGATAGCTTGAAGCAAGCAGCTGAGCAAATGAAGAAATTTGTTGATAACCATCGTAGTTACAGGAGTTTTCCTGTGGGGGACTGGGTTTTTCTCAAATTACAACCTTACAGGCAAATTAGTGTGTCATCTTACAAACCCCACAAACTCTCTCCTAAATACTATGGTCCTTATCAGATTTTGGAAAAAAATTGAGAAGTTGCATATAAATTGGCATTACCTAATCAGTCTCAAATTCATCCTGTTTTTCATATGTCTCAGTTGAAGAAACGGATTGGGACTGAGGTGATTCTTCAAGTTGATCCTCCTAACTATGTGACTGAAATAATTGATGAGCCTGAGCAGATTATGGACAGGAGGACAGTGATTAAAGGGAGGCACTTAGTTTCTCAGGTTCTTGTTAAATGGAGACAATGGCCTGTTGTGGAATCCACTTGGGAATCATACTAGGAATTAGTCAAGAGATTTTCTACTTTTGACCTTAAGACATGGTCAAATTTAAGGGGTGGGAATTTGTCAGGTGCTGCAGTTGACAAGGTTATAATGCATGCAATGGAAGGCTATACTACAAGCAATGGAGGGCAGGGGAACTGAGTTCGGCTGAGTTCCAGGTTTTGGAAGCTGAGTTACAGGCTTTGGTAGAGTGAAGATGAGCACATGGACTGATATGCAAATAATTGGACTGAAACGCAAAAGAGATAGAACATAGAAGATTGAACTTTAGCACATTGTAAACAAGATAATCACAAGCAATTGTATTCGGTTAAACTATCAACATTCTGTTACAAATCAGTTCGGCACTGTTTGTGCACGTGCACGAACTCAGCTCACAATCATAATGATGTATAAATACAATGTTGTACAAGCACAAACCAAGAAATGGATTACAAGTTTTCTCTCTCTCTAATTGAGTCATCTCTTCCTCTGTCTCCTTCTTCTTGATTCCATCTCTTTCCTTCTTCAATTCTCTCATGATTTCTTTTGTAGAGATCCGCCATGGCTAGGAACAACAGCTCCAGAGTCAACCGAGGTTCCCGAGCCTCACACAAACCCTAGAATTTTGGGGATCAGAAAATACAAAACTTTAAAAAGTAAACTTTACCATAACAATTAAATAAAAATGAATATAAAGAAAAATTTATAATAAAAGTAGGAAAAATCTCATCTTTGAGTGCTTGAGAGAGGGACCTTGTGGTTGTAGGGAGGAGAGACACTGAGTTGTTAAAGGAACTCCTAATTCTTCTAAACCGCACACATGCTTCATCCAAAAAAATTAAGAATCAAAACCCATCAGAATTATGAGAGAAAAAAAACCTAACTAAAAATAAGTGGAAAATAAATCAAGAGTAAACCAATAAAATTGAGGATCAAGAATAGAGAAAACGAATTGAAAGGAAAAAAAGGTAAAAACAATCATAAAGTTATCAAATTGAAGAAAATTTTGAAATAAACCTATTCACAATTTTAATCCAAAAATCGACCGTATCCAAACTTATTTACCAAAATCGACCCGCTTTCTCACCACGTCAGCTTCATGGCCAGAAAGTGAGTCATTTTAAAAAAAAATCACGATCCTAATTAGTCGGGGTTGCCAACCCCGACTAATTAGAACCTCCCCCACAACCCTCTCGTGGTTAGGCTACTAAATAAGTCGGGGTTCGAAACCCCAACTAATTTCATCGGGGTTCCCAACCCCCACTGTTTGCCAGAGCCTGTGCCGCCCCTCATAAAAATGGTCGGGGATCTCGACCCCGGCCATTTGGTAGAGACCCTCCAGCCCACACTTTGCTAGAAAATCTTATCTCCTGCTAACACATATCAATCCACAAGTGTAACACCAGCTCTCTTGCTACACATTTATTAATCCATAATCAATTTCAAACACAAATAAACACATATATTTATATAATTATTACATATATCACAAATCTTTAACAAAAACGTAACATTCAATTCACTTACTAAAAATCCAACCATAATCAAGTCTCAGTAGCATTTCAAACATAAACATCATAGCATTTCAAACATAAACATCGTATGAAGTATATCAAAATTTAACAAATAGTTAGAACTCCCTTTTCTCTCGCTCTCGCTCTCCCTCTCCCTCTCCCTCTTCTTCCTCTCCCCATTCCCCGTTCACCTTCAACATGAGCTTGGATGATCTCAACTTCCGGTTGTGTGTGAACTTGTGAGCGCATGACATCCTCGTCGACTTGAACCTGCTGTGAACATCTGGGTTGAGCTTGTTGTGAGCCTCTAGCTTCATCATTTTCACAACTTGAGCCCGCTCTCGTGTGTCCTCGGACCCATCGACGCTCGTACCCTATGAATCGTTCCTCATATCCATCATGATTCGCATTACACGTCCTTCTAAGAGCGGACTGAACCTTTCATATGATGCGAACAAATGTGTTCCTCGCCCCTGGCTCGGCAGTCGATCTCAATGCATCATGTGTAATAGAAGCAACCTCATCGAGGTCTAGTACTTATAAATAAAAAATAAAAGAGGATTATTAGCAAGTGAATGATAATAAAATGATAATCACAAAATAAATTGTATATTTTTCTTATACATTTACCAACTCTCTCTCAACTGGACCTCTCGATATGTACTCCTTAGGTGCTTTGTTCTCCCGAAATATCCATCGGTGAGTAATCCCCCAATACCACCGTAAGTACACATCTAAATCCGGTACGTCAGCCCTCTCCATCACTACAACATCCTCCCTCAACTCCTAATTCTTAATGTAAGCATGACGAATTATCTCCCAATTTTGATGATGTGCTCCTTTTTAGGGATTTTGCTTTATTCTTTCTACAGGATCTGGAATATGTTGTTTTAATCCAAATTGTCGAAGCACATGATCAGGCACGTGCATTTTGACAATCTCAAACATATAATCGGTACTCAAGCACGCCATATATCTTCACCATCTCGGTAAATATCTGGTAGTGAAGCTAAAACTAGTTTATAGGGCATCCACTTGACCAATAAAGAAGATTATGTAAATTTGCATATCAGTAATAAATGATGTAATGATTGAATATATTTAGATATTATGATTTTATACATGTTCATCCTCCATTTGATCAAGCTCGTTCACGTAAAGGTTTTCGTGACCCTTTGGGGAGGTTTTCTAAGATCTGAAAATATTCCATCTATTTGATATACAAAGGGTTAGTATAGATTAAAATAAATATATAAAATTATATGTAATCATATCTATTACAAACTAAAATACCTGCATCCTAACGGAATCTGGCCATTCAGAGCGCGAATCTCCCTCAAATCTGGTGTTCCCAAAATGCCATCGCTCCCATAACCATATTTGCAACAAAGTGAGGCAACATTTGAATTCTTTATTTTGCATGAGTGCCGTTTTTGTAATCTCCCTGTAGAGATATGCTAACACTGCATTCTCCCAGGATAACTCTCCACACTCCTCAAAATCCTCAAGAAGTGATAACCATCTAACATGCACCAAATCCTTAGTGTAATTCCTTAATCAAGTCACAATAACTATATGATTCCGAGATTATTAACGGCATCGTTACCCCTCTGACGTACATTGGCATATTATTCATTCTATAATTAATTTTTTCACCATAAGAGTAAGCAATAAAAATCATATTGTTCAACCTATGCAAAAGAAGATTATATCATTTAAATGCAAAAAATTAAAAAAGTTTATCATGGCATTGAATAAGAGAGATAAACCCAAGATGCAAATAATCTCATACAATTTTGACTAAAAACCTTAAACCCCAAAATGAAAATTCTAAACCCTAGAATTGAGCATTCTATGCCCTAGAAGTTTAATTTCAATTATAATAATCAACACACAAAGCATTCAAACTACCACAAATAGAGTGGTTGATAATAAATTTCAAACCCTAGAAATTGGATTTTGATAGAAAACCCTAGATTTTTACATGTTAAAAGAGGAGAGAAGGAAGAAAAATTACCCTAGAAAATTTAAGCAAACTTTCACGATGGATTTCTGCCGCAAAATGGGGTTAGGAGAAGTGGGTAGGCGGCTGAACGAGTGAGTCCGAAGTTGGAGAGGAGAAAAATGGGGATTTTGGGGAAAAATAGTTTTGGTCAGTATATATAAGGGGGACGGACCCACCACAAATAGTCGGGGTTGACAACCCCGACTATTTCATGACTTAGTCTCTTTCCGATTTTCGGGCTGGGGAGTCTCTAGTGAATAGCCGGAGTTGACAACCCCGACCATTTCATGGGTTGGTTCCGGTCTCTGCTAAATGGACAAGGTTGAGAACCACGACGAGAGGACTGGGGGGAGGTCCTAATTAGTCGGGGTTGGCAACACGACTAATTAGGATCGCGATTTTTTTTTTAAAACGACCAACTTTCTGGCCACGGAGTTGACATGACGAGAAAATGAGTCGTAAATAAGTTTGGATTAGGTCGAAACGTAGGATTAAAATTGTGAATAAGTTTATTTCAAAAATTTCTTCTTATCAAATCTTTGGGTTTGGCTTCGTCATCAAAAGGCGATTGGTGGAGGCTGAGGTGATCGAGGAAGAGCTCATGCGAATTGGGTGAGAGTGAGAGGCGAATGGCAAGAAGATGAAGGATGAAGATGGAGGAGAGAAAGACAGATATGAGAGAGAGAGAATGAGATCTCGAGAGGGGAGCATGAGTGTTTATCAAGAGAGGCTAAAAGAGGGGATTTTTTTTGAAAAATTGGTGGGTTTTTGACTTTTGAATGTGAGATGAGGACTTCTCTGTAGTTTGAGAGGCGCTAGAGACACACTCTAAGGCACACCATCAACCACACTCCCTCTCTCTTTACAGAAGTCACACCATCAACCAAATTCTCTCTCTCTTTTAAGTGCAAGGGTGCCTCTATCATTTCTTTTGTAGTTTTTTTTTTGGAATTTTCGAGAAGCGATCAACCTCCTGATTGGACCAGCTAGGAAGTGCTGTTCATGGGCGATATGTTCTGAGGTTTTGCTCTCATAACAGCAGGAGACGCGATGCAAGGGACGAATTAGTCGAAAACATCCGACTTTGCGGGTCGGTGAACGAAGCGCGGGTTCTGTATTTTATACCCAAATCCGATTTCTTTTTCCTCCTCCAGCCGGCTGAGGGTCGAGCATCGTCGATCTTCCCGACCAAGACATTGATTGAAAACCCCAGAAAACAAAAATTCCTCCACTTTCATCGGAACAATGATCCTCCGAACTCCACCTCAGCGAAAGAGACGAGCAGAATCGCCGATAATCGAGACGCCCGTCTCCGACCGCCGAGTCGTCGTCTACAACGATCCATTCCCCTCCTCCACCTCCGATGATCTCGTCTGCACTCATCAATGCCGTCAGATGGTAACAATCCCCCCTCAATCTTTTCATTTTCTGGTTAGGGTTTCTGAAAACCCTAACTTTCTTTTCTTTCTATTGATAGGTGAAATCGGAGTTCATGGTGGCTTTCAGTACAGCAGAGAAGCAAGTTGCTGAGTATCAGTCCAAAGTCGAGGCCTTGAGCAACGAGCTGCGCAAGAGCGGTGGGTTCGCTGTTCGGGTTTTGTGTTTAGATGTTTTATTTGCTTAATGTATGGTTATTGATGCAGAAGAGGAGCGGATCAATTATCGGGATCACCTTCGATCTGTGGAGCAGGAGCTTGAGGCGGCGAAAGGGCGAGAGCTCGCACTGCAAGAGCAGTTGTTGAAGGAGGTTACTGAGTCACAGGAGCGGTACCGAGCTCAATTGAAGCGCTGCTCTGAGCTTGAGGTATTAAAGGGGGGACATCCGCCCTAAATTAATCTTCGCCGGAATGATTTCTTCAAGAAAACCGTCATGATATCATAGAACCGTATGCTGAGAAGGCAAAAGACATTTAAAGATTGTTATTGGTATTAATGGATTAAGGATATGTCTGAATTGAGAAACAACCCTTTTGAATTGCATCAGATAGTAACTGCAATTTGCAATTAACGGGATATAAACTCTGTCCATCATCTCGTGAACATAAATCTCTATGCATGATGCATAATATTTTGGAGCGGGGAGTTGAGGTCTAAGTGTCCATTATTAGGAGGGGTGTTCCTTTTCATGTTGAACTGGTTTTTCTTTCTGTAACCCTAAGCAAAATTTCGTAACATGCATGTAAAATGTCAGAACATAAGAAGAATAAAAGGATAAGTAAGGAGACTAAAAAGAAGAAAAGGAAAAAGAAACATCCATTCTTCCTCTCTGAAGTTTTGAAAGTAAGGTTTATTTGTTGATTAAGAGATGACTCACCCTAGTAAAATTTCTCAATATTCTGGTTCCACGTTTATTTGTCTAAAAATAAAAATACGTAAGATAAAGTTTATTCCTTTTCCATGGCTTTCACAACTTTACACTTTAAGGGTTTTTCTTTTAGGATAAAATTTTGAAATAGACCTCTCAAAAAAAAAAAAAAAAAGAAAAGAAAATCAACCTATTTGCAAATGTTTATTAGAATCGACCTAGTTTTTGCCATAGCAGTAATACTAGGTCGATTATGTAAAAAAAGTTTTTGAACTCCATGGGATTGGCAATCCTGTAGTGCTAAATTGTGTGTTAAATTCTATGGGATTCTCAATCTCGTAGACTATACAATTTTTTTCTTCCAAAATCGACCTAATTCCTGAAATATTTATCAAAATCGACCTAGTTTCAAGTTTCAGCCAATGTGCGGAAACTAGGTGAAACTAGGTCTAGTTTGTTAAATATTTTGGGAATAGCGTTTTTTGTGATTATTTTGTTTAAAGGGTCTAATTAAAAGTTTTGTCCTTTCTTTTATAGCGCACGCACAAACACATATATATAGATGCACACACATGTATGTTATGTCTCTATATATGTGTGTGTATATTTGTATATATGCGTGTGTATGTATATGTATACACACTGACACATTCATAATGAGTCAAGGAGTTGAAGACTTGGAAGTAGGCCTAACTTGTTTGGAAGCAATCAAGACAGGTTGTGGCAATGATTAACTAAATGGAAGAGATAAAATTTAATCGAAATAAACAAAGGAATAGGATTCATGTAGTTGAGCCTAAAAAATCAGAATGAAGGATTTGTTCTGTTATTATGTTTTCTTTTTTACATTCTCTTTTTTATGATTCATCTTCTCACAAATCTTTCCTTTGCTCGATTGTCAGGTGCAACTTAGAAAAGAAGTTGATTCTACTAATAAGACTAACTTATCAGAAGCGGAGGCTCGGGAGAGAGCTACAGTTCTGGAAGGAGAAATTCAGCGGCTTTCTGAAAGCAGTAAAAGGGAGAAGAATCATCTCCAAAAGGAGTTGTTACATTTGAAAGATGAATCAAAGCTATCCTTGTCTAGAGTCACCGCTGACGTGAGAAAAAAAAAGATGCTCAATTAGCATTTTATTCCCTTCCTCTTAACAAACATTTTTTTTTGTTCTTTTCAGCTCGAAAGAACAAGACTTAGAGCACTTAACTCTGAGAAAGAGACAAAACTATTGAAAGATGAGTTGAAGGACCTACAAAATCAGCTAAATGAGGTAGCGTGGCTCTTCTTCACGTCATATACATATACGTACTTATCATAATTGTTTTTGCTGCTCTGTCTCAACGTAAAATTTTCTTTTCATCTTCAATATTATTTTAGCAATAATAAAATAGAAATGGCAGTTGGAATAGATCGAATCAATGAAAACACTACCACAAAAGTGTTAGAATTTGGATTTTTATGATCAATTTACACTTATGTCATTTGTCTGGTAAGTAAATTGAATATATAAATGCAACATATTGCTAATATTGTACTTTTCTTCAAACCAGTGCCTTCACCAGAAGAGTGAATTGGAGCACAAGCTAACAACTTTCACTGCTCCAGTACATGAAACTGGTCTGTCTGAGAGCCAGATTCTTGTGAAGCATCTACAGGAGGAACTTCGGAACTATGTGAGTTAGTAGCATATAAAAGACCGACTTATTTGATAAAAATGCAGCAAATACTTCTAAGTACTATAAATATTATATCTTTTAGACTAGCTTACCACATTTTACGACACTAATTTTCACGGTTTTGGATATGTTACTTTAAATGATGCGTCTTCATTCTATTGGTACTATACATGATCAGTGAAACTATATTTGGTTTGCTTATCCACATGTTCCTTATGGCTTATGGGCATTTCCCTGTGGTCATGTGATTTAGTTCTTTCATGCAAGTATATGAGTCCGCTAGAAATATCAATTTGTGTGACCTTATCTACAAAGTAACTATATTAATGGCAAGAATAGGGAAGGAACCTAATGATTTATTTACAATTATCACTGCTATCTAATAGTAAATGTAATGTTATTGGTTAATTATAGTATCTTATTTTCTCCTAGTTATATCTTTTAAATACTGATAGGAGAGGTTTGATAAATGAGGAAGGTGTCTTCTTTGGGCATAATGGATATCGATTACTTGGAGTTTTCATGATGAAATGGCACAACCAAACGAGTAAGCAGCCAATGGTTTACGTTAGTTTTTATGAGATATGTCATATTGAAATTGTAAAAACCACATCAACTTAGTGAAATTGTGACTTTTCTCATGTCAGTTTGAAAATTATGGATCTAGACTTCTAGGTCATGATAATAAACAATGGCTTGTTCCAAATAGTGAATCTTCTTAGCTACAAATGTAGTGGCTTCAACGATAGACTACTGAGTTCTTCATATTATCTGCTATCTCAGTGTGCACATAGGTTACCAGGACACTGCATTTTGGCTCCCGTATCTGTGTCGAACGCGTGTCGGACACTGATTTACTATTGGCATGCTATTGACACGTGCAGTCTTAAGCTGTACCTTTTTTTTAAAGAAAAATTCTCAAATGGTTTACCTGTTTTATCTTTAAGCCCAACTACTTTGTTTTGTACTTGAACCCAATCGTCTTTATATATTTATCTCTAAACCCAAATTCTCAAATACAATATATAAGTTAATGAGCCTGCCTTAAACTTTTCTAAAAATCCCAATTTACCCCCTTATTTTTCTCTCTGATTTAACCCCCCTCTCACCTTCTTTACTCTCTTCTTTCATTCTTTAACTCATGAATCCACTAATCAAGGTTTTAAATATCGGTTATCGGGGATTTATCGGACGACCAAAATCCTTATCGGATAGCGAAAATCGAAGACATATAAAGTAGTATTTATTAGAGTCATATACTGTATGATGTATATATATAATATAATACCCCAAATTGTAATCTAACCATACACCCTTTTTTCATTCTCTCAACCTTCACTAAATAACTAGAGAAAAAACCAAATGAATAGTGAATATTGTTTGTTGCTACAACTTCAGAAGTTGTGTTGAGGGCGTGGCGTCGATGGAGAGTCCAAGTAGAACTGTCGAACTTATAGTTGATAATGACGTCGATGGAGAGAGCTCGACATCAATGGAGAGCTCAGCGTCAGTCAACGTCGTCGAGTCAATAAGTTGATGATGGCGTCGATGGAGAGAGCACAACGTTGGTCGAAGTTGTCAAGTCGATGAAGTTAACGTCGATGAGAGAGCAGCGTCGAATGGTCGAAGTCGATAGCGTTGAGGTCAGCGGAGTCCGAAGAGAAGCGGAGGCGAGTGTCGAAGTCGGCGGAGGTGAGCGTCAAGGTTGACAGAGTTCAAAGAGGAATGAAGATCAGAGGATTAGGGGAGTGGGCACATCCGCACAAATGAGGGGGGAGAGAACGGAGGATTAGAGCTACAGAAACGGATTTAAGTTTTATTGTAAAGAACGGGTCGGGTTGGGTTTCAAGTTTACTCAAAAACTGCCAATTACCCAAAATCACAACCCAATGGTGTGGCCCGATAATTTCGATTTTTGGAGCCGCTAATATCGGTCGATAATCACCTTTATCGCTGCATTATCGCCGATAAACCCCAAAAAACGATAACCGATTTAAATTTCAACTTATCCTATCGGAAAGCTCCCAAAATCGATAACTCGGGGATAATATCGGAATATCGGCCGATATTTAAAACCTTGCCACTAATTACTCCTCAACTCCATTAATGCACTGGTTTGATTGCTCAATTTTGGTGGAGATTCATCACTTTTTTGGTGTTTTAATGTATAACTTTGTCCTTTACTCAACTTCTAAATTTGTAGCATTAATTTCTCATTTTCCTCATCAAAATTATTTCACATTATTATTCATGAATCCTCATGGCTGTTTATTACAAGTAATACGAAAAATTAATACTAAAAAGAAAATCTAATGTTAATTTTAATTTAAGAATTGGATTTAATTTCAGAATTAAGATTTTAATTTATTGTGAGACCAAATTTGATAGTTAGTTAAATTTAGTTTAAGTTGACTATCTTTGATGAAATTTGCATATTTTGTTTATTTTTTGTGACAAATAGAGATGACTGAAGATTTGTTCTATACTTCCCACCAAAACACACTATACGTTAACCGAAATCTGCTATACTTTCACTAGTACTGCAAGTGTAACAGGTTTTGGTGTAAGGTGTAGCGTGTTATAACAAGTCTTGGTGAAAGTTTAGCAGGTTCTCCTGTAAGTACAAAAAGTTTTTAGTAAGTAGAGCAGGTTCTGTTGAAAGTATAGCATGTTTTTCTATAAGTATAGCAGACTTTTTAGTTTTTGGTGAAAGTACAATAAGTTTTTCTGTAAGTATGACAGTTTTTCCTGTAAGTGTAGTAGGTTTTGGTGAAAGTATAGCAGGTTTTGGTGGAAGTGTAACTGGTTTTCCTATAAGTACAATAGGTTTTTATAAAAGTATAGCAAGTTTAGAGGAAAATATAAAAGATATTTCTATAAGTATATAACATTTTGGTGAAAGTAGAGTGGGTTTTGGTGAAACTACAATACAAATCTTCGTTCATTCATCTCTGTTTGTCACAAAAAATAAATAAAATGTGTAAATTTTATCAAAGATAGTCAACTTAAACCAAAATTAACTAAATATGAAATTTGGTCTCACAACAAATTAAAATCAAAATTATGAAATTAAAATCTTAATTTTGCAATTAAATCTTCTGAAATTAAATCTAATTTTGAAATTAAAATTAAATTTTTTTTTTGTATTATTTTTCGTATTAATTGTAATAAACAACCATATGGATTCATGAATAATAATATGAAATAATTTTGACAAAGAAAATACGGAATTAATGCTCCAAATTTAGAAGTTAGGTAAAGGACAAATATATACCTTAAAATACCAAAAAAGTGATGAATGTCCACAAAATTGAGCAATCAAACTCTATGTATTAATGGAGTTGATTAATTAATGAGTTCATGATAGTTAAAGAAAGAAGGAAGAGGGAAAGGAGGTGAGAGAGAGGGGGGATTAAATGAGAAAGAAAGAGACGAGAGAGAGAAGGGGGTAAATTGGTTTTTTAGAAAAGTTTTAAGGGGACCCGTTAACTTATGTATTATATTTGAGAATTTGGGCTTAGAGATAAATATATAAAGATGATTAGATTCAAAGGTACAAAACAAAGTAATTGAGTTTAAAGATAAAACAAGGTAAACCATTGGGCCTTAAGACAAAAACCCCTCTTATATTTGAGCTACAGTTATTCTAAAATTTTCTATTTACTTTTATTTAGGCTGCAATGTTATTTAAATTATGATTATTAGTTTGATTTGCACAATTTTTTAAATTACTATTAAATCAACTTTTGTTATTAAACCTTAATTCTTAGTTTTCTTTATTCTTAATTGCTATAGATAAATAAAAGAAACATACAAATTTATATGTATTTTAATTCAATATATGATCTTATGTAAATTACATACCCGTATCCTATGTTATACAAATTTGTCATGTCCTATGTTTGTACCTCCTATCCCCCATCCGTATTTGTGAAACCTAGGTGCGCGCACACATAAAATATTGCATAAGACCTTGAAGTAGAAACGTAGGTGTTATTGATAATTTACTCTAACCTCTTGAGTTTATGTATGGTTTATTTAACAGTATTTTAAGATGAGGTCAACACAGTAAGATTCTACGTTGCCTGAGGCAGGAGACTAAATAATGTGATTACCTGGGTAATCTAAAGCAACAAATATTGAAAACATTCATAAAAGTAAAACAATATGCAATTAAACACAATATCAATAAATCAAAATAAAGAAAATTAGCCACAACCGAAATTTCAAAGTCGCAAACTATGATATCGTGCATTGTTTTAAAAAGCGATCTAGGCATCCGCTTAGGTGGCCACTTAAACCTAAACAGTACTTAGACCGTCCGTCTAAGTCTTAGGAGCGCCTAGGGGAGAACATACTTAGAAAGATGTATATTGCTCGCTTAAGCATCGTAATGGTTGAAAATAGTTAGCTAGGTTAAAACGTACTGGAGATCAAAACACTATCTCCAAGTCCATCTCACAGTGAGAATATGATTCAAATATTCGAAAACGATCCTTTCTTTCTCGACTTTAAAAACATCTATGTGCAGCTTAAGTGTCCGCCTAGGCGCTAGGCGCTAGGTCTGGCGCCTTGAAATATATATCGCTTTCTAAAACATTGATATCATGAGACTGTAGACCCAAAACACAACCTATGGCCCTGTTTAGATTGGGAAATTTGTTTTATTTTGGGATTAATTTTACTCATTGCAGTCTTGAGATATAATGATTAAAAGATTATGGGGTATTAAAATTTTAATAATTTATTTGGTTCAAATTTGTTAGCGATACCTCTAATACCTATGTCATATTTGAGAACTTATCATTAAAAGGTGGTATAGGATTAGAACATACAACAAATATCGCTACCGCCCTTCTGTCTACTAATCATGCTTTTAGCCAAGTCTAAGTTAATTTTGGTAGCGTTTTGGGACAAAACATAGACAACTATAGTCATCAAATTTCTATTGGAACTTAAAATTTGGAGTTTGAGAAAAGAACATTAACAAGCCAAAC